ATTCATGTCTTTTGTAATCTTTAAGAATGTACTGGGTATGAGATGGAACCTCAGAATTGTTGATTTACATTTCTCTTATTAGTGATTTAACTCATTCTTTCATTTGGTTCTTAATAGGTTGTAATTCTTACTAGGAAATGGCATTTCCTAATGTGTTTGGCATTGTGGCAGCCAGGTGATACAGCAGACTTAGAATCAGGAAGACCCGAGTTTGAATCTGGTCTCAGATTATTACCTAGCTATTTGATCCTGTTCAAGTCACTTAATCTCTGTCTTCCTCAGTTCCCTCATCTGTAAAATGAGGATAATAAGAGCAGGATTCCAGGATTGTCATAAGGACTAAATGAATAATATTTTTAAAGTGCTTTGCGAACCTTTAAGCACTATATAAATGCTATTATAACTTGTCATTATTTCTGTTGTCTGTATATCTTGAATATCAAACCTTATCATAAATATTTTATAGGAAGATTTTTTTCTCCATTACTTGCTTCCTTTATCCTAGATGTTTTAATTTTATATAAAAGCTTTTCAACTTCATGTAATCAGTCATCCTTTTATCTTTTGTAAATGCCTTTATCCTTGTTGGGTTAAGAATTTACCCTCTAGGGGCAGCTACGTAGCACAGTGGATAGAGCTCCAGCCTTGGAGTCAGGAGGACCTGAGTTCAAATCTAGCCTCAGACACTTGACACTTACTAGCTGTGTGACCCTGGGCAAGTCACTTAACCCCACTGCCTAGCTCCCCCCCCCAAAAATTCACCCTTTACCCATGGCTATAAAAAGTATATTATCTCTTTTTAAAATATTTTTATACTTTAATCTGTAATATTCTGGTCATGTATCTATTTTAAATTTGTTGTGGAATATTGTATAAGATGTTGATCTAACCCTCATTTCTGCCAAACTGCTTTTTAGTTTTCGCAGTGGTTCTTATCAAATAGGGAGTTTTTTCGTAGTTAATTTATGCTTTCAGGTTTATTGAACACTAGTTTATAGGAATCCATTATTTCTGATTCTTTCTTGTCTAGTCTATTCCATTGATCTCCTTTTTCATGATTTGACCAGTTCCAAATGGTTTTAATGATTTATGCTTTAGGATATAGTTTGAGGTCTGGAAGTGCTATTCTCCCTTCTTTCCTACATTTCCTCCCCATTATTTGCTTTGATATTCTGGATGTTTTGTTCTTTCAAATGAACTTTGTTCTTATTTTACCTAACTCTGTAAAGTATTCTTTTGGTATTTTGATTAGTGCATCATTAAATCTGTGAATTAACTTTAGTAGTATTGTCATATCAATTATATTGGCACAGCTTATCTATGAAAACTGGATACTCCTGCAGCTATTTAAGTTGTTCTTTATTTCTTTGAGGAGCATTTTGTAATTTTTATTGTAATTATTTTATTATAAGTATCTTTTAAAATCCATACAAGTATTGCATATGCTTTAGTTACTTCACTCCCAAATATTTTATTTATTTTGTAGTTATTTATGTATATATATTAGTTTAATTTATGTATGCACATATATTCTTGTTTAATCTTCATACTAATCATGTGAGGTAAGAGCTTTATTATTCCCATTTTACAGATGAGGAAAGCTCACATAGCTAGTAATTTCTGCGATAGGATTCAAACTCTGGTCTTCTTCACTCTTTTAAAAAATTGATTATTTAGTTATTTTTATCATTCTTTCTTTTTAAATTTTGAATTCCAGATTCTTTCCCTCCCTTCCATCCTCTCCCTACCCACTGAGAAGGCAAGTAATATAACAGTTTTACATGTGAAATCATGCAAAACATTTTTATATTAGCCATATTTTTTTTAAAAAGCAAGAAAAATAAAAAAATAAGAAAATTATACTTCAGTTTACACTCAGAGTTTATCAGTTCTTTCTCTGAAGGGAGACAGCATTTTTTCATCATGGGTCCTTTGGAATTGTCTTGGATCATTGTATTTATCAGAGTAGCCAAGTGTTTCACAGTTGATTATCATTACAGCATTGCTGGTATTATACACAATGATTTCCTGGTTCTTCTCACTGCACTTTGCATCAGTTTATATAGGTCTTAACATGTTTTTCCGAAGCCACCCCCTCATCATTTCTTATAGCACAATAGTACTTTATCACAATTATATGCCACAACTTATTCAGCCTTTCTCGAATTAAGGAGCATCCCTTCCATTTCTAATTCTTTGCCACCACAAAAAGAGCTGTTAAAAATATTTTTGTACATATAGGTCCTTTTCCTTTGTCCTTTGATCTCCTTAGGATACAAACTTAATGGTGGTATTGCTGGGACAAAGGGTATGTAGTTTTATAACCATTTGGGCCTAGTTCCAGTTCTCCAGAATGGTTGGACCAGTTCACTACCCCACCAGCAGTTCATTAGTGTACCTATTTTTCCCTCATCTCCTCCAGTATTTATCTTTTCTGATTGGTATGAGGCATTACCTCAAAGTTGTTTTAACTTACCTTTCTCTAATCAATAGTGATTTAGAATATTTTTCACATGATTATAGATAACTCTGATTTCTTCTTCTGAAAACTACTTGCTAATATCCTTTGACCATTTATCAGTTGGTGAATGGCTCTTATTTTTATCAGTTTAACTCAGTTCTATACCCAGTATATATTGGAGAAATGAGGTCTCTATCAGAGAAATTTACTATAATTTTTTTTTAATATTATTTCATTGACTGTGGTGCCTTTTAGCAAAATGTAGTTGCCCTGATTTTGTCCTTTAATTTCATTTATTTTTGCTTTTGCTTTGTCTGTGATCATGATTGCTACCCCTGCCTTTTTTACTTCAGCTGAAGTATATAAATAGACTCTGCTCCAGCCATTTATTTTAACTCTGTGTATGTATCTTTCTGTTTCAAGTGTGCCTCTTATAAATAACATATTGTTGGATTCTGGTTTCTGATCCATTCTGCTATCGGCTTTCATTTTATTGGGTGAGCTCATTCCGTTCAGATTCATAGTTATGATTATTAAGTGTATATTTCCCTTCTCTGTCTCTTGTACCTCCTCCCTTTCTCTTATCTCTCTCCCCTCCATTTTCCGTATTGAGTGGATTACATTTCTATACCCAACTGAATATGTATGTTATTCTCTCTTTGAGCCAATTCTGATGAGAGTAAGGTTTAAGCATTGCCTGCTACACCCCCCTTCCATCTTCCCTTTCACTGTAAATGTTCTTCCTTGCATGCCTCTTTTATGTGAGAAAATTTTCCCCATTCTACTTCTCTCTTCCCCTTTCTCCCAGTGCATCCCTCTTTCTCATCTCTTCATTTTTTGGAGAAATTATTCCAACATAATCAACTCACACCCATGCCCTCTGTTTATGTAAACTCCTTTTAACTACCCTAATAATGATAAACTTCTTAGAAGTTACACGTGTCATCTTCCCATACAGGAATGTAAACAGTTTGACTTTGAGTCCCTTATGACCACTTTTTAATATTTACCTTTTTATACCTCTCTTGAGCCCTCTGTTTATATGTCAAATTTTCTATTCAGTTTTGGTCTTGTCACCAGTATTGCTTTAAAGTCCTCTATTTCATTAAGTATTCACTTTTTCCCCTGAAGGATTACACTCATTTTTGCTTGCTGAGTGATCCTGGGAGAGATGTGGCCACTGGTCTGCGCTCTGGGCCCCTGCAGCTGCATGCACTAGCATTCTTTTCTGCTTTGGTACTGTGACCAGGGATCCTGCTACCTTGTGACTGACTGCTCTCCACCCTAGAATTGTGACCCAGAAGTGTGTATGGATAATAGAGTTGCCAGTCAGTTGTACGCCACTTGTACCCAGTGCTAGCAAAGGTCACCTGTAATCTCTTTCTGAACAGTTGTCTAACTCCCTCACCATTTTTAGGCTGAGGGCTCCTGAAACTACTGCTGCTGCTGCTGTTGCCACCACCATGTGTGTGTCCAGACAGACCTCCATCAGACCATTCCCCTCTTCCCCCAGTGTTACAGACTTCTCCTGTTGAACTTTTAAGTTTTCTTCAGCCAGGAAAATATCTCACCCCAACTTTTTGTTGACTTTGCTGTTCTAAAGTTTGATTTGAGGCATTATTTTAAAGTTGTTTGGAGGGGAATGGTGGGAGAATTTGGCTGGGTGGCTGTCCCTAGTCCGCCATCTTGGCTTTGCCGGTTTTGGAGTTACTTTGACTGAGATTCCCCTTTTTATTATTGTCTGCTGGCTTTTGTTATCTTATTAAAATGCTATCAATTTCATTGATTAGGGCCAAGTTGTAGAAAGCCTTGATTGTCAGGCAAAGGAGTTTGGACTACATCCAGTAGGCAATTGTGAAAGATTTTTGAGCAGATATATAAAGCATTTAAGTACTTACTAGGTGCTGTGCTCTATGCTAAATGCAAGCAATAAAAGCAATAAAAATGCAAGTAAGCAAGACAGTCCTTACCTTCATAGAGCGTACATTCTAATGGAGGAAGACAGTACATTAAAGGGAGCTAGAAAGGTTGGAGGGAGAGGGCATACAGTGTGAAGATGTCCAGGAAGTGGCATGGAAGCCTGGTAAGGTCAAAGCTTACCTGTCAGAGCCCAAGGTGGTTCCAGGGGAGGAATCCAAGTTTCATTCAGGGAGAATGGCCAGATCCCTAGTTGCTAATGGCATGATGATTTAAATAAAAACTTCTAGGGAATCCACAGAGAAACTGAAACATGGTATGGAGATGGCCAAGAAAATGGAGCAGGAAAGTGACATGATCAAAGTTATGTTGGAAGTTATTGGAAGATCAGTCTGTCAGTGTGTGCACTATGGATTAGAGGGGGAGGGAAGAGATCTCTGTGTACACAGAGTATGAGGGGAAGAGCCATGGGCATAAGGCTGTAAAAATAAGTTGAGTCCAGATTGCAGAAGTCCTTAAATACCAAGCTAAGCACTTTATCCCGAAGACAGCACAGAGATATTCAAGAGTTTTGAGCAGTGGATTTGACTGAATTAGATTTTGCTTTTCCTTTTCTCTATAGGGTATATCCATGGCTTAGAGGACTGGGTTATACATCCTTAGGCATATTTTTAATGGGATTTTTCCTTTGGAATGTAGACAACATCTTTTGTGAATCACTAAGGTAAGAAAAAACAAACAATTACATTTTTTTCCAGAAGCATGGCAAATGTAAAATGATATGTAATTATAAATATTACATATATGTATCCTCTTCCTTACATAGTTGATTTAATAGAAGTACTTTGGAAGCCCCAGAGCACTAAAGAAACCTGATCATCATGCAGTATATACATTTTTGACCCACCTATTTGTTAGGTTTTGTAATATAATTACATTCTTTGCTATGCATGAAAAACACATGCTTGGTAGTCCCCAGGACTGTGTCAGCAGGTGCTATAATTGCATATTTTTGTGGTTATACAAAAATTGGTTTGTTCTATTTTTCCTCCTAACAGGAGCTTTCGAACAAAGGTACCACCTTTTGTGGGTGTTTTTACACAGTTACATGCTTGGTGGCACATTCTTACTGGCCTTGGCTCTTATCTTCACATCCTTTTCAGGTATGAAATAGCAATTTGGGGGAGAGGGAAGAGGGGAAATCATAGCCAATGTAGTAAAGTTGGATGTGGGTGTGGGTGTATTTCCTCTATGTTATACTACAAACCCCTTGAGAGCCCAGGATGTATGGAACAGAGCTTTGGATCCTCAACCCGAGTGCAACACATAGAGAGTAGATGCTTAGTATGGATTAATTGATTTGGATTACCTAGTCAGGGCTGGCTGTTCAGCTTTCCTTTAATACCCTCATGTGAATTAGAGAATCGGATTATTCCTAGCATAAATGAGGACCCTAAGAAGCAGGAAAAGATTAGCAGTTGCTGAATGTAGACTGACTTAAAAGTCTGAACCTAAGTGGAATGACAAACCTAGCTGGGGCACTCTCACTATGATACGAACCAAACCAAGTATTTGGGAGGGAATTGAACTGCTCAGGAGAAGAGAAGATGAAAGCCCTGAAAGGGATAAGGAAAAGGTAGTGACTACTTCGTGGGCTCCACAGTTTTCCTTAAAACCGGCTCTGGGCAAAGAAGCAAACTTAGAAGGCCTTACTTAGCATCTTGTTAATTCAATAGCTCTATCCTCTTATCCTTCCCCCAAAAACCTTCCTCTCCCAGACTTCCTTTCTGCTGGAGAGGATGCCACCATCGTTCCAGGCTCACAGCTCATTTGCTAAAACTGAAGTCTGCCAGCTCACCCCACACCCTACTCAGTAAGCTCCAGTGGTTCACTGTTACCTCCAAGATCAAATTTAAAGCCTTTCACAACCTTATGCCTTAGAGCCCAGTTTTTAGCCTTCTTATATTCTGCCCCGCTCTGCATCTTCTGCTGTCCACCCAGACTAGTCTGCTTGCTGTTTCTCACACTCCATCTCCCATCTGCATACCTTTGTACTGGGTGTCCTCCACGCCTGAAAGGCTCTCCCTCCTTACCTCTGTCTCTTGGAATCACAGGCTTCCTTCAAGACTCAGCTCCAATGATACCTTCTGCAGGAAGTCCTTTCCAGGCTTCCCATCTGCTACAGCCTTCCCCTCTGAGGCTAACTTTCATCTCTTCTGTATGTATCCTGTACATGCCTTTTATTTAAATATTGTCTCTCCTTATCAGAATGCAAACTCCCTGAGGACAAGGACAGTTTTAGCCTTTCATTTTATCCCAATGACTTAGCACTGAGCCTGTTTAGAACAGGATAGCAAGATTTATATTGTTTGCCTCATGGAATTTCTGTAAAAAGCTTTATAAAACACTATACAAATATGAACTATTTTATTAATAAATTAATTATTCTATTAATATAAATAATATATTTTGAGGAATAAGTTTTTAGCTATTTCAGAAGTTCTAATTAATCCTAAAATTTTTATTTTTAAAACATTCTCACTCTATTATTTTTACTCTACTCCAATTTAGAAAATTTTTGGTTTTTTGGACAACTTTCCTTTGGAGCCTTAGGAAAAATAGCCTCAATAACCCCTGTGTGCTTGATGGAACAGGATGTTCTGGTAAACAGCTCCTTAGTAGGAAACAGGTAGTTTCTTTCAGTCTCCTGCTTAGCCCATGTCTCAATAACAAGGTTTTCTTGCCTGCCAAAAGTCAATTAGTGCTGACACATACTCCACACGTGAGGCCCAGCTTCCCAGGAGAATGTAATAGAGGAAACATTTGAAATCAGTTTACATAAGAGCTGGTGCATCTCAGAATACTCTTGGTGGCCCCAGATACCTTTTCTGCATTAGGGATTTTCTGGTTAAAATGGTAGCAGCTTCATATGGAGTATCCAGGTCTTTCTTCCTTGGCTCTGTAAGCCCCAGACCTCGAGGACTTTCTCTTACCCTCTCTTTCTCACTTCACTTCCCCCATCCATTATGTCTACATGACCCAGCTATATCCATCCCCTTTGAAATAGGATTCAGAATTGAAAAGTAAAATATGGATATTTGCATTCCTAACCTTTTTTCTACTTTCTCTTCCTCTGTCATTGTAATTTCTTATTGATGTTTTTTGGTTTTACATCCCAATTATTTCAAGATAAGCCATTCCTCATGCTTCCAGTGAGCCACCTCTTGTAGCAAAGAAAAAAATTAAGCAAGAATAGCCAACAGATCTGACACTTGCAGCAGCATATGCAGTATTCCTCACCCGTAGCCCCTTGCTTCCCCGTTCCTTGGCTAATATTAGCCACCTTCTGACTCATTTTCAAAAACTGACCATAGCCAATACATCTGCCTAGATCAGGATTTCCAAGTGCACACGGTAAGTCTCCAAACTGGCTACCCCAACCCCTCCTTGTCTGCCAAGATAAGCTTTCCACGCTTACTTTACCATGGACGTGTCATTTTGCCTTTTCTGTCTTCCATTTCCTTCTCCATAAAATGACAGGACTGGGTTTTAGGAACACTAAGATCCTTTCTAGCTCTCGAATCCTATAGCCTCAGGCTGCTTTCAGCTCTGATAGTCTGTATTCTAACACCTCCTCCAGCTCTCCTATCCTCTGTTCCCGGGGGGGAGAGAGAAGCCTTCCCCTCCCTTGTGGGGTCGGCACCATTACCTCCTCAGAAACTTCAATGGGAGCACTCCTTCCCCTTCTAGCCCACGTGACCTCAAGGATTTGGGGAAATGAAAAATAAGTCTCCATCACAGAAAGATAGGGGAAACCCTAATCTTCTACAGACTGACTGTGCTCAATACACAGGAATACTGATAACCTAAGTCTGATTGTTATGGATCATGACTCAGAAGCAGCCTCGTACAATGGAAAGAATTTTGTTGTGGTTCAGTCTTGTCCAACTCTTGGGACCCCATTTGGGGTTGTCTTGGCAAAAATACTGGATTGTTTTGACTTTTCCTTTTGCAGCTCATTTTGCAGATGAGGAAACTGAGGCAAACAGGGTAAAGTGATTTGCCCAGGGTCACACTCTATCCACTGCACCACCTAGCGCCCCCCTAGAAAGACAAGTATCCTGATTCTACTGCTTACTGGGAAAGTTTTTTCCCCCCAGGGCCTTGGTATCCTCATTTGTAAAAGAAGGTGGTTGGGCAAAATATCTTAACATCCCTTCTGTCTCTAATCTATAATCCTATGATCCCTCTAACTGTGATATGTTGTGAGTCTGTGATTTTTGACTCAGAGTCAGGACACCTGGGTACTCTGACTCTGCTGTGTCTTAAGTTGTTGTTCTTTCTTACTTACTGTTGTGTCTTAAGCTAGGCCCCAAAGCTGACGTTTGTATTCCCTTGTGGAGAGGGAACAGAAAGGGCTGAGTGCTTACCTCACTTCCATGACGCTTGAATGTTCATAGTCTCATTCAGAGGACAGACACAGCAAGAACACGGACAGAAAGACAAAGGAGGTGTTAGGTTGCCCTGATTCTGGTAACATTTTTATGGTGGATTTTATTCAGTTTTGGTTAAGCAAGCACACATTAAGCACCTAATGGGTTTAAAGCACTGCTCTTGATGATGAGGAAATCCACAAAGGGTGTTGATACCAACCTTGAAGATTAAAGTTCCCCAACATATGTTATGTGCATCAGAGAGGTACAGAGTGCTCTGCTGCATGAAGTACAATTTCTGTATCTGTTTCCAAGGTGGGAAATGCCCTCTTCTTCCTCGGTACTTCCTCAGAGATGGTACTGCAGGCATCAGTGATGGCTAGTGACAGCTAGGTCCTCTTTGAGGATAATTGGAGGTCCTCGTTGAGGGCGCAGACTAGATTATTCAGTCTCAGGGCCCTTAACTTGATGGCTTGCCATGACGATTTCTTGAAAACAACCCTAAGAGACAATTTTTTGACAACTATACTTTAAATTCAATGGCTCCATTCTTGTAGCCCTGTACTTAGTGTTCTGGTAAACTTGTCCTCGGTAAACTTCCACCTGGGCAGCAGGTATTTAAGTCCACTACTTTGAGCAGCCCACAAACATAGCTTGAAACCAAGGTTTTCTTGCAAAAATTAATTATTGCCAATAACATGGGGGTCAACTTTCAAAGTAGCATAATGGGGTGTGAGAGACCATGGGGAGAAGAGCTTGAGATCATTTCCAGAAAGACCTGGATTTATTGTCCTCTCTTATAGATGAAGAGACACAGAGTGGTGAAGTGCTTTGTCCATAATAACACAGCTTTGTGTCTGTACTTGGACTAGGACCCAGGTCTTCTAACTCCAATTCCAGCAATCTGATGGCCTTCTTCATCTTTTCCAGCAAACCTCACATAGCAACTTGTTCCTTTAAATTCACTTTAATTCATCCAATAACCTACTAAGGGCCTACAACCTTCTGGGCCCTGGTGATACCAACTCAAACATCCCTGTGCTCTACGTGATTCTGTTCTTCTGGTGAAAACACCCTGCAGCATGGCCACAGAGAAATCAACACCAAAATGTATACAGTTATATCTGTGGAAGAGAATACCATCAACTGGGAGATCAGGAAAAACCTTGAGAAGGAAATAACATTTGCCTTGAGCTGAACTAGAGAATCCAAGAGAGAAAAATGAGAAAGGAGAGTGTTCTCAGCATGGCCAGAGGCCTGGAGGCAGAGGTGGAATGTCCTGCATGCAGAACAGCAAGGAACCCAGCTGTGTTGGAACAGAGAGTGCATAAGGGAGAGAAATGTAAAGTCATCCTTGGAAGATAAATTGGGGACAAATTGTGAAAGTATTTGAGTCAGTCAATTGACAAGTATTTATTAACTACTGTGTACTTTGTTCCAGGCCCTGTGCTTGTCACTGGGGTATGAAGACTCCCCAATGTAGTGAATAAAGTCACACCTAGTTATGCAGGGCTTTAAATGACAGAATTTGTATTTTAACCTAGAAGCAAAAGCAAATCACTGGAGCTTTTTGAGCACAGAGGAGTGAAATACTGGTGCTTTAGAATAGCTGATTTTGTACCTTTGTAATGTAATCAAGTCACTTCACCCTGTTTGCCTCAGTTTCCTCATGTGGAGAAGGAAATGGCAAACTGCTCCAGTATCTTTGCCAAGAAAACCCCACATGAGATCATGAGGAGTCAAACACAACTGAAAATGGCTGAACAACAACAAAATATAATCATATAATCTACATCTGTTTCTCATTCCCTGGATTGATTTCTGTCAAGGGCACCATCATCCATCTTTCTAGGTGCCCAAATTTACAACTTGAGAATTATTCTTGATTTCTTACATTTCCACACTCCCTAACCATCTCATACTTCTGTCCATTCACACAATCACCACCCTTATTCTGGTTCAGGGCACTTCTCACCTAAACAATTACAGTAGCTTTCTAATTAGTTTCCCTGCCTCAAGTTTCTCCTCTGTCTGGCCCATCCTCCACACACCTGCCAAACTGATCTTCCTCCCCTATTCAGTAAGCTCCCCTATGACCTCTAGGATCAAATACAAATCCGTCTTTAATTTAAAGTCTTTGACAACCTGTCTAGAGTCTGCCTCTCTGGGTTTATTACACATTACTTCACATAATGCACTCTGTGGTCCAGTCAAACTGGCTTTCTTACTATTATTCTTCATGCACAAAATACAATCTCTCCTCTCCATGCCTTTGCATAAGCTATCCCCTGTACCTCAAATATAATTCTTCCTCACCCCTGACTCATAGAATCCCTAGCTACCTTCAAAGCTCGGCACAAATGCTACTTTCTCCATGAGGCTTTTCCTGATCCTCACTCTCTAACGCCTCCCCCCAGAAATCACTTCGAGTCTATTTAGCATATACTTATATGTCTAAAAAATAGATATCAATTCACTATAAGGAAAAACTTCCAATTAGAGCTAAAACTTCTAACAATTAGAGTTGTCTGAAAACGGAAAGAGTTGTGCCACATGAGGCAGTAAGTTTCTCATCTCTGGAGTTTTTCAAAGACCAAATGATTATTTGGTAGGACTGTTGTAGAGGGCCCCACTCAGCTGTGGATTGGATTAGGTCATAAGAGGGAAAGGGGTTTGCCTGAAATCATGCAGGAAGTAAGTAGCAGCACCAGTCTCTTCCAAATTGAGATTTTCTGTAATTCTGACTCTGAAATGCCATTTTCTTTCCCTTTCAGTTTATACACAAGGACACTTTATCTGCGGTATAGACCAAAGGTGAAGGTAAGTCCTAGTCTGTGTGCATTTGAATACAAGAATTCCCCGTAGCTTAGTCTATCACTAAGAATAAGAGCTTTGTATCTATCTACCATGGTTGGAGACAGTGGTACCTTAATGTGACCTCCCTCAGGCAGACCATTGCTATTAACCACAGCTTGGTTCTTAAAATTCAGCCAGGATCCCCTGATGTTCTAGACTAGGCAGGATGTTCTAACTCACCTTTTTCTAGGACTTGTATTGAAAGACTATTTTTCTTCTTTCTCTCTCCTTGAACCCTTACCTGAATAGTTTCTCTTCGGGATGTGGCCCATGATCCTGGTTGAGCCACCCAAGAAGCATTTATGAGAAGAGGTCCCGTGAAGAAAGCACAACTGCCCACTGCTGGCCTCATTGCCTTGGGAAGAATCCCAAGACTCTTCAAGCTTCCATATTAAACAGTGTACCAGCCCTTGTGGTAAAAGGAGGAGTCTTTGACCAACACCACCAGGCCAGAAACAGAGTGAGAAGTGGGCATCCTGGGGACTTAGTGTGTCTTTATTTCCCTTATAGTGTCTAAAAGGACACAATATGATGTTCATGTGTGTATTGAAGTGCTGCAGAAATTGGACTTCTTTAATGAGCTAGTCACTAGTCATTGTCCAGTGGTCACTGGACAGTGACCTTTTTCCCCTTTGATGTGGATTGAATCTGATCATATGTAACTTTTCTCTATGATTTTAAACGAATATGCAGTTGAATAATGGAAATTGTTAACTGGAGTAGAACCGGACTAAGTATCTATCCAGATGCTTAGTAGTAAACGTAATGCTTAGCTACATCACCCTTCATTCAGATACTTGTTGAAGGAAACTTAGAAGATTGTTGCCAAGGTGAAAGGGTCCAACGGTAGGACTGCGTTCAGCTCCATCCCTTGAACCAGGAGGTGGGACGTGTTGTCTCTACTCTCTCTCATTGGGAGCCACGCATTCTAGCTCACTTCTGCCACCACATCTGACATCTGTTACTTCATCCCCTACAACCCATTGTACAGGCACTTTCCACATATCATTGACCCACAGAGGGTCACAGCTTCACAGTATCACTAATTACATCACAACCAGGGCCCACCATAACACTGGGGACACCCATTATCATGTCATTTTGGCCAGTGGCCCAAGTCACAAATCGGTCATCTGACATTCCTCTGGCTAGTACTTAACCCCAGCAGTGTTAGTTACCTCCCCATAACCCTTGGGAATGTGGTTTCACCTTATGAGGAGGCTGTGCCAAACAAAGCCCAGTACGTCAGGGTTTGAGCTGGATATTCATGCTGTGATTTCTTCCTCTTCCTCAAGCTAATTAAAGGTATCCACACTGTTGCCTCCAGCTCCTTCTAATCTTTGTAGATCCTCTTTACTTTTGCCTCCTGCTTGTGGTCTAATCAAGCATGGAGCAAGTGCGCTTCTGCTCCATCCAGCTTTATTCCTGTGCTCCCATTATTTTCAGCTCCAGAAAATATCAATGAATGACATACACTGACTTTTCAAAGTATTTGGTAATCGTAAATTCTCTAAGAGGCATGAGACTCATGGTGAAATTTGCAAGGGGTGAAATCATCAGGAGCTTGTTGTGTGGAAAATACCTCCATCTGTCTGCTCCTTTTTGCGTCTGAGGGAAATAGGCCAAGAGCTTGAGAACAGCCTGAGGCAGCATCAGAAGTGAATGTCTCACCAACAGGCAGCTCATTCTTCTGTGGATTTGAATAGGCGACCCCCAAAGTCAGCCAAAGGTTTACCTGCCAGGGCACCTTTGCCTAAAGGGGTGTTAGCAAATGAATGGTAACATGCAAGCTGGTACTCCTAGAGAGAATCTTCTCTGGGTCCTCTTATGCAATCTAGTGGGTAAAGACCTTGACCATTTTTACAGTATTAAGTAAGTGACCTTAACACAAATTTAAAAGAAACCTATTTCTGGTTTTGGGGAATTTATTTTAAATGTTTTACTGGATGACTTTTTGTTGCTTTTAAAATTTTTATTTTCCCATTTTCACTCATCCCAGTGGCTCTCATTTTCTGCCCTTCAGCACATCAATGCCGCTTTCTTTCTCTTGGTCCAGTTCGTCAGCAGGTTGAGCCCTGTCTAGATTTTGTTCATTTTCCTTCCAGGAGACAAAACCTTAAACTTGAACGTGAGAGGAAGCATTGGCTCTGGTTCTCTGTGCCTTAGGAGGCTGGGACATTGAAGAATTCCACACACCACAAGTCACTTCTCTGCCTCCTGCCTTGGGAACGCTGAAAATTGCCTCTTCTATCCCATCTTTAGCCAAGCAAATGGTTAAATGGATCTGTTCTTGAAAAGAGTTGTGGACTTAAGAGTCAGAAGACCTGAATCTGCCACTTACTCACCTTAGGCAGATCACATCCCCTTTCTGAGCCTCAGTATTCATGTCTGTTTAATGGGAATACTGATTAACTTACCTTTGCAGGGTTATTGTGAAGAAAACATTTTATAAACAGTAGAGCACCATATAAATGTGAGCTACTTATATTTCTCTGCTCTGCACTCTCTTCTATACATAACAATATGCAGTACTATATGTGTGATCAAGGGAACAGAATGAGAGCCTTCCTAAACTTGCCAGTGCCATGGTCAATAAGGATTTGAATGTGTTAACTCACCTATCTGTAGCGCTTCACAGCCTATGAGGTGTCATCCTCCCAGCCTGAAATGGGTGGTTAGGACCTTGACCTCTCACCATCTATTGAAATTTTTCTCTTCCTGCAAGGTGCAGCTCAGATACCCCCTCCTCCATGAAGGTTTCCCTGAATCCTTCAGCTTACAGTGATCTCGTCCTCCATAGATTTTCACAGAGCCCTGTATGTCTCCTTTGTCCTCATCATACACTACCTGGTGTCATGTTCATATTGTATCTATTAGGCTGTAAGTTCCCTGACATCAAGAACTATGTTGTCATCCTCATTTGTATCCCTAGTGCCTAGCACAGTGCTTGACCTGTTGTGCAGGCATGCACCAAAATGGTTGCATCAACAAGTAAGGTAAGCAGTGTAAAAGTTCCCTGTTTTACAGATAAGGAAACTGAGGACCATAGCGATGTACCCAATGTTGGCCGCTATCTGAGGTGGCTCGAATGCCGGCTCTCCCTTAGTTCGGGTTCGACGTAAGGTAGGAATGAGGCCCTCAGAAGTCATTGAACAGTTAACACTAGGAGTGCCGCAGTTTAAGAATGCTGCAAAGGGCCAAGCTGCTTCAGTTGACGCCAGGCACTTTCTTTTTAATCAATAAAGCAAAATAGAGATAGGATAAAAAGTTTTATTTCAAAGTGAAATTGTAGTAACATTTTTGCGTCAGTTGATGTGCCTGGTCCTCCTCGTGTTAACTGAAGGTCTGCTCTGCCCTAACACAGCAAGGATATGAGACAAAGATACGACGGCACTTCATCGGATGTGGCCGCCTCATCTCCACGTGGAAACGCGTCTCTTCATCAGGGCAGAATGTGGTGAAGGACGTGATGACTCTTGGTCTTCAGAAATCCACCCCATCCAAGGGGCCCCCACTGCCTGTGACTGAGGCTGTTTATGTCTTTAGATGACCAGGCTATGGAGGGGAAGCTGAGGCAAGCCAGGTCCCAGATGCAACTTTATCTCCTTCTAGGGAAAGCTCATCCCTGTTCAAGAAGAGAGACCTAAGCCTAACTGATATTGAGAAGGAATGAGAGGCAAAGAGAAGGGAAGAAGCTTTGTCAGGGAAATGCTAGTAAACAGAAGCCCTGTCACTCCCATGGTGGCTACCTCTAAATCAGAAACAATATTCAAGCCCAGGCCCGATGACTGGCTTCTTTTCTTATCATTAAGGAGTTGTTTATAGATAGCATAAGTGATGCCATTTGTTCATCCCAGAAGTGGATATAATATGCTTTTCACCCCTGGTCGCACACAGTGGGACTCTATTGTCCTTAGGGTTATTTCTATATTTTGTGTTTCTCTTTCTCTCTTTCTGTCTCTCTCTCTCTCTCTCTCTCTCTGTCTCTCTCTCCTTCTCCCTCTCTCCCTAAAAGTCAGAGGATTGTGCACATTAAGGGACTTCAGGACTATTGAGAAAAAAGGAAGAATTCAAGCCCATGACCATAGGAAGTTATCTTGTTATTTTCCACATCAGTTTGTGCCTCTGGCTTTGTTCTTTTTAGCATTCTTAAGTCCCAAGATGCCACTGATTTCTTACCGCGTTGTAGAAATGACCCCAACTTTTCCAGAGATTCTGACAGGTCTGACCAAGCCAGGAAGGCTTGAGAGCTAGCAGACACTTGTGTGTATGTGTGTCATCTGGAAACCAACCTAGCCAAGACCAAGGAAGGGCTCTGACCGCCTTGGGATAAATCTGGGGAGGGGGAAAAGCCATAGTATGTCATAAAGACAATCTAAAAATGATAAACCTCCAATAAAGCCTTCCTCCAGTGTCACTTCCTGATGTGGAGGTTACCATGCCTCATAGGCTATGCTGGGAGAACAAAAGGTCTGGCAATTCTACCAAGCTGGAAGGACATGGAGCACAGGCTTGCCAACCAACCCTGTATCTGTTTAGCACCAGAAGACTGGCTACAAGGTGGAGAACTTTTCAGCTATTGCACCTCATTTCCTGAATACCATCAACTCGGCCTTAATAGCAACTAAGGCATAGAAGGGTTTTTCAACTTTGACAGAAGGAACACTCTCCACTTTGACGAAGAACCAAATATGCAGAGGAATGGTGGTTTTTACCAGCATGGTGGACTTTCATTGGGGCAATTCCTTCTACTAATGCAGATGCTGGCCTGTCCATGGTTTAGTAGGATCATAGGATAAGTCCTAAGAAATTGCCTGGGACACCTAGAGATTAAATGACTTACCCAAGGTCATCCAAGTAAGTGGTAAGTGTCAGAGATGGAATTTGAACCTGTCTTTCTGCCAGACTCCAAGCCCAGCACCCTAGCCACTACATCATACTACCTCTACTATATGTGCTTCCATATTTCAGCAACATTAAGTTCTCTTTTTTAAGGTGTGAGTGGAGCTTTCAGGGAGATGGGATAGCTGTTATTTTTAAACTTTCTGTGTTCCCTTTGGGAATTGTTTGTATACCTCATAGAGCCCTAATACTTAAAAACCCATTTCCTATTGAGTAAAATATCTTTGTGTTCACGTGCTAACAGGCCCCCTGTGAATGATTCGCCTCAATGGGCAGGGAGTCCAGCTGCGCATTTCAGCACCGAAACTGATAAACCATCATAGGGATGTTCAGAGAGCTATTTTCTAGGCTTCACATCATTTCTGTGCCATAATTGACCACTGTGGATTTGGGTTTCCAAAGTGTATAGGGTCTTTCCTAATGGGGAATGGGGTCTGTGCAGAACAAAATAATCTGCTTTTACCAAACACCACCTCCACCTGCAGAAATGTTTTGTTATCACTTGAATGCTCTGATATTGTTTGGCCATGAAGCCAAATGTCCACCCAGGAGCTACTAGAAGTTTAACATTGACTACTACAGAGAGAGAGAACAAGGTCTCTTCTTCCTGCTTCAGCACCACTACTCCTTGCCTCACTCCATACACCACATTGTGTGTGTGACTCAGCATACCCATTTTAGATCTTTTAGATCAACAATGAGGATTTATCCAGTGGGGATAATCCAATCCCCAGTCACATCCAGGATTAATCCATGCCACATAGCAATTTAAATGATGGCCAACATATTCACTAGGGTTGGGATTTTTTTTTCAGATGTTCCTATCTGACTTGGAACAATATTAGCTGCCATTTTTATAACACTTTAAGGGCTACAGAGCATTTACCTCATCACAATCCCATTTGGTAGAGTAGTGCCTATTCCTTGGGGTCGATGTTACCTCATCAGGGTGAGTGCTTCCTCTAGCAGCAAAGATTAGAAGATTAACAACCCATTCATACCTTCTCATCCTGTGCAACTCTTGTCCTTAGCCTGCCATGAATCCGCTCATCATATTGAGGCCTCTAGATCTCTTGACATCAATCCCAATGGAGCATGTAGACTTTCTATTGATTATTTTTCTTGCTACATGACTGACCCAACTCCTTTTTCCCATCCTATGTGTCTCTGATGACATTCTTGATGCTGTCTTTTTTCTGGTGACACATGACAGCCTACTGCCATCCACTATATTCCTCTACATCATCCTCTGTGCTTTGAATATGTATCCCTGTTTTACAGTTTTGAGGGTGCCTAAGTTCAGAGGTGATGTGATTTGCCCATGCCACATAGCAAGCAAGCTTCATATCTGGGCCTTGAACTGAGGTGCTACCTGCAAAACTATACATCCTTGCCTCCCAGAATGGAAAGATTGTAGTTCCTGATGAAATAAATGGTTAACAGCTCATATATACAAAGTTCTTTCTAGTTTACAAAAGCACTTTCCTCACAACAACTCTAGACAGTGCAAGTATCTAGATAGAATGAGCCTTGGTGAGGTCAAGAGAGCCTTGGCCAAGGTCATAAACTAATAATTGGCAGAGGCGAGCTCAAACCAGGTCCTCTGACACTGAATCCAGGGCCTGTTCAATTATATTATGCTGCCAGTCTGAACCTACAGTATTAATCATCTCCATAACCACAGGTTCTTGCATGACAGAAGATGCTCTCATTCAGTTCCAACTAGCAATGGCCTCCTCCTTGATGAATGTCTGTGGAAAACTACCATCTCAAGCACTAGTCAGCAAAGCAGGAAAATAGCTCTTTTTTGCATCTACCTCTGCTTTATGCATTGCACAATATCAATGCCTTAATGTAATCCATTTGCCCCCTGCTCTGGGGTTTTCTATTTTCTAAAATGCAAATCATTCATTCTTAACATTCCCTTTCCCCCAGTCATTGTTCCTGTAGGATTCAGCACTTAGACACAGTTGCTGTTTGGGTTGGCGTATTAACCAAACATAACATTGATGCCCGAAATACGTGTCTGGGCCCCTGGTCAGACCAATGACAGAGCAAGGAGGGAACACGGACAGGAGGCTGGCTTTGCGGGAAGACTCAGTGGAGAAGAGTTACTTGAGACCAAATAGGTATCTCATCAACATTTGCTTATTTGCTCTGTAATATTCTAGGTGTCTGCCACAGACTCGTTTTCCTGCCTGTTTCTTGGGATGTAGTTATCTCCATGAATGCTAACTTGACTCAACAGACTTTATAATCTCTTGAATCTTAACTTAGACTTTGAGTTCTGTCCCTGAGTAAGTTCTTTCCCTCGGGCCCTGTGTATATAAATGCAGGAAGAAAAAGAGCAGCTGGGGCAAGGAATAGTTATCTGGGAGCAGAATTGTCACCTAAAGAGCTTCTGTATTTTTAATTACACATTCTCCATTTGGGGAATAAAGGCCCTATAGTAATTGATTAAATATGAATGACTTTAAGGTAACTTAAAACAATGATGATATTCCATAAGGTGGCCTTTATCACCATCACAAACACCACCACAAACTCATATTTCTATAATCCTTTAAGATTTACAAAGCCATCCTTCAAGATAGTTCAGATAGTATTATCCCCACTTTACAGATGAGAGAACTGAGACTCAAAGAAAATATTTTTTGCTGATTCATAGTAAATGTCAACACTGGGATTCAAGCCTAAGTGTTCTGAATCTTAAGACCCAGTACTCTTTAAAAATATTTTTTTTTTGCCTTGCTGTCTTTCATTTCTGAATAAATCCCTTCCCTGCACCCTTAACTCAAGTAGCCATCCCTTATAACAAAATAGAAAAGAAGGGAAAAGGACAGTTCAGCAAAACTAACAAAATCAATCAGAGGATATTCAATACAAGACCAGTACTCTTAACTTACTACATATGATGTTACCAGATTGTAGTGGCAGCTGGTATAGAAAGTATTAAGTAAGAGGAATGCCACAGAGTATGGAACTTGATTCCAGAAATCTGATTATGGGCCAGAAATAGACCTATGGACCGCTGCACTTTTCACTTCAGCTGTCTCGTGATTTTGTGTCATCTGCTTCCGGTCATGAGAGCTCAATAGCTGTTGGGACTCAGAAAGAGCTTTTAGAAATTGTTTAGTCTGACACCATTATTTTACAAATAAGGACACAAGGGAAAGGACTTACCCAAGGTCACTCTGTAAGGTACTGGCACAGCCAGGTCCTGGCCTTCTTTGCTGAAAATCTTTAAACTGTCATGAGGTGTTCCTTCTCCATTACTCAGGAGAGCTAGATGAGTTCCTCAGCTGGTGTTCCATGCATTCACAAATTGTCAGTAAAAAGGCTTCCAGATTCAGAGCCATTAATGGCAACTGAAAGAGTGATAGGGTGCACATTTTTAATTCAAGAGAGAAATAGAATCAAGTACTCTTGGAGATTATAAAATGTATCAATATTGCCCCCAGCAGGGTCACATTTTTACAATCTCCATCCCAGGCTATTATGGAAAGAACATCGGGTTTAAAGTCAGGAGATGTGGGCTCAAGTCCACTTGCCAGCTGTAGACATGTAACCTCATCTCTAAAATGGGAAGTTGGGACTAGAGGATTTCTAAAATTCCTCTCAACCCTCTGGCATGCTGTGTTCTAACATTCCACTGTCCCTTCCAGCTATTAGAAAGAATGTTGGATTCGAGCATTCCATATTCTGTATACTTAATAACCCAGAGCCTATGTCCTGAGATTACATGTGGGCAGTTCTGTCATCCATTAGTCCTAGGCTAATTACCTTTGTGTTACAGGTGGTTTTTTACTGCATTTATTTATAAAGAACACTTGCCTGAAATAGATTGTTTTTACAGGGGAGCAACAACCGATCGCAAAATTGCTTGTGTTACCCTTTTCTTATTTTGCCAAGTGCTACAATTTTTTACTACAAATTTAGATTGGTGTGTTTTTTTAATCTAATCTACTTATGCTACATTCCTACATTAATCATCTTGTTATGGTTGAATGTATTAAAGAGTATTGTTTTGAATAAGATGTTCAGTGATGTTGCCCTTTTTCTCTCCTACTTCGTGGAATAGTTATAAACATGAATGTGATGGTGCTTAGTTTTCTATAGTATCAGTGGGATTTTTTTTTGTCCCTCAGACTATTCCTGGTAATAAAATACCAAGATACCAACTTGAGCTTAGGAAGGTCAGCACTGAGCACAAAACAGTAGGTGCTCAATAACTGCTTACTAAATTGAATAAAGCACTGCTATGACTTGACTGCCTATTGGACATCTCCACGTGGATGCCTCATAGTTCTCAAACTCAACATGCCCAAAATAGGATCTGTCTTCTCTCCAAAACCATCCCTCCCTTCTTGTTTCCCTGGAGGACACCACCGTTCTTTCAGACACCAAAGTTTCAGACAGCTTTGGAGTTGTCCTTGACTCTTCCCTCTCCTCTATTACCCCGTATCAAGTCAGTTGCCAGGTTTTGTGGATTCTACATCAGCATGTTTCATTTCCTGTTCTACTTTAGTGGTGTCTGTGATGTCCTTCCCCTTCTCTTCATTCACATAGCCTTTACCCAAGTTCATCCTTATTTTCTCACTTTAACTGTTCCATTAGTCTCCTAATTGGGTTCCTTACTTATGATCTCTCCCCTCTCCAATCCATTCTCTACATAGCTGCCAAATTGATATTCCTAAAACAAAGATCTGACCATGTCACACCCCTACTCAAAAATCTTCAGCAGCCCCCTGTTGCCTCTAAGAAAAAATACAAAACCCATAGCCTGGTATTTGAGTCTCCATAATCTTAACTCCTGAACACTCTCCTACTCATTTCTAATTACATCTTCATGCACTCTTCTTTCCCTATATAAAACATACCATTTTCAGCTCCCATAACCTTTTAATGGGTGGTCCCCCATGTCCACAATTTTCTCCTACCTTACCTCTGCCTCATAGAATCTCCAGCTTTCTTCAAAAGATGACTGAAGAGGACAGCTCGGTGGCACAGTGGATAGAGCAGTGGCCCTGGATTCATGAGTACCTAAGTTCAAATCCAGCCTTAGACACCTAACACTTGCTAGCTATGTGACCCTGGGCAAGTCACTTAACCCCATTGCCTAACCAAAAAAAAAGATGACTGAAGGTGGGAGTCCAAGCTCAAAAGTCTAAATGGGTTAGAGCCAGGGTTTGATGGGAGTCCTAGGAAGAGACATAGAAATGGCCCCAGGGAATAGGGGGAGGTGAAGATCCAGGGATGGAAATTATGAAAGGAAGATAAATTTATGGGAGTAGAAGGTTGGCAGAGATTATGGGGTCCTGGGGTGAAGTTAGGTCCTAAAAGAGTTTGGGCAGGGAGGGAGAGATAAGCCCCGGGTCTAGGTAAGGAAGAATTTGACAGAGGCGATAGAGATGGACAGGAGTTTGGTCGAGGGAATAGAGATGGAAAACAGAGACAGGCCCAGGGGATAGCGATGGGGAAGAGAGTACAAAGACTGAGGCTTCTTAGAAATGTAGTGGGAGACTGGTGAGTCTCAGCATAGAGAGTGGAAAGAGGTAGCTCCAGAGATGGAAATGGACCTGGGAAGTAGGGAAGACAGAGGAGGACTTGGGGTGGGGGTGGAAGGGTTGCTTATTTAGGTGAATGGCTGAACAAATTGTAATAATGAATGCAATGAAATAATCATTGTGCTCTAAGAAATTGTGAATATGAGAAATCCAGAGAAACATGGGGATTTATAAATACAAGGACTACAACAATTTAAATTAGAAGAACACTAAAGTGAAGCTGGATGCTGTGGAGTTTTAATGAACATTCTTGGTCCTTGAAAAAAAAATGAGGAAATATGAGGTGGCAGATTATAGGTGGGGGACTATTGCCTACGCTGACACAGTGGTCACTCAGTTTTGCTTAACTGTTTTTCTTTGTTTCAAATTAAAACTCACTATGGAAGAGTATCCCTGAAAATAACCATAATGTGTATTTAAAAGAGAAAGAAAACAGAGTTAGAGGTGTACAGATAGGTGTGATGTATATTTGACAAGAATTGAGATGGAACTGTGCAATAGAAATGGTATATTTGGGAAAGAAAAGATGCCGAGAAAGGAAGTAGGAGAGATAGAGATGGGAGTGGGAAATAGGTCTAGGGCAGTGGTGCCAAACTCAAATAGATACAGGCACTAAACCTATAGGTCACATATTGACTTAGAAAACTATATATTGTTATTATGTATGTTCTATTATGTTTTTATTTACTTAGTTAAGTATTTCCCAGTTACATTTTAAACCACAGTTAAAACCACACTGCCATGTGCAGCCTGCTGGCCAGGTGTTTGGCACCTCTGATCTAGGGAATAGAGATAATATATGTTTTGGGGGCTAGGGTTCTAGATAATAATAATAATAATAATAAAAATACTTACATATATACAATACTTTATAGTTTGGAAATCACTTTCACATACATTACCAAATTTATTTGACATTCACAACAAACCTATGCAGAAAGCAAAAGATAAATTATTCCCATTTTATAGATGACTCAATTCAAGTACTACCTTCTACATGACCCACTTATCTCCCCAACTTCTACTGCCCATTCTCCCCCCAAACTGGCTTATATTTATGGTTCATTTACATATACTTGTATATATACATATTTGCTTCCCTGCTTGAATATTAGTTCCTTGAGTGCAGGACTGTTCCATTTTTGTCTTTGTGTCAAAAATTATTAACAGTCCCTGGCACATAGTATGCCATAGCAAACACTTATTGGTTGATTGTGTTCTTGGGTTCACGCTGAAACATGCCTGTCGTTAAATCTCATTTTCCCATATGATACTTTCTTCACCACCACCACACAAACTAGCCCAAAAGGACTGTCTACCCTATCCATGTCTGGATGATCAGAGTAATACGACCAGTCAGTGATCCTTCATTTTGACTGTCAGTTGCAGGTTTTTTTTACCCACCCAAGGAGAGAGACCCCCTGTGCTGAGCTGCTGGTGAAGTGAGTAGTCAGGGGATAAGGGGATGTAAGAAGAGGAGAAGAGTGATGGGGGTGTCTAGGGGCGGAATATTGTTTTTGGAAGACGACTGAAATGAGGGGTCTCTACAGGTTAGGAAAATGGTGTCAGCGCTCAGGGGCTGTTGGGTTTCAGGTCAAGTCCACAAGTATTCTGGGATACAAAAAAAGGCAAAAAAATCAGTCTCTGATTTCAAGGAGCTCACAGTCTAATGGGGGCTTCACCTTTAGATATGTAGCACCCCATGATAAGCATTTCCCCAACTTACACTTGCACCAGGGAGTAGCCACTACCTCAGGTCAAGGGTACCCTGCAAGGCTGCTCCAAAAACTCATGAGCCTCCATTGGTGTGTTTCCTATTAACCATCTATCTGTTAACTCATTCAACTCAAGGTAAAAAAAAGCATTTACTAAATGGAGTTGTGAAAAGAGCTACAAAACACCCCCCTCCACAAAATCTGAGGCACATTCTCCCACAAATGCCCACTGTGTATGTGGAGAGAGTGGGCACAATATAAATAACAATAATAGCCATCATTTACATAGCATTTTAAGGACCCCAAAAGGGTTTAAATATGTTAGCCTTCAAAACAACCCTGAGAGGTAAGTATTGTTATCATCCCCATCTTAGAGATGATGAAACTAGGTTAGGCAGCATGCCTAGGATCACACAGTAAAGTCGGAGGCAAGATTCACACTCAGTTCTCCCTAACTCTAAGCTCAGCACTGTATCTACTATACTTCCAAACTAGCTAAGATAATGTAAGAATCATAGATTTAGAACTGGAAGGGACCTTGGGGATGGGGTATCTAATCCAGTGGTTATAAAAAAATTTTTTTTTGCTCACAACACAGCATTTTGTTCTTTGAAGAATCGTAGCACCCCAGAATGAGGAAAATTCATACTATTATAAATGTAAGTTCCTTACATTTCTGAGAGAACCTAGCTGAACATACTCCTATGCTGTGCTGTGGAATACTCTCTGATAACCATTGGCCTCATTCCACTCCCTTTTATGGATGAGGAAATTGAGGCCCAGAGAAGTGATAGCCCGAGGTCACATGGCTGGGAATGAGCAGAACTGGGATCCAAGCCCATGCCTTTTGACTACAAATCCAGGCTTTTTCCACAGTAGCACACAGCCTCGGAGTGAGCAAGAATGGGTTGTGAATAGAACTGGGATGGGGACTAGGCCTGTGGTTTCATTGCTATATGGAACTCCTCCAGTGAGAAAATGTTCTCTACCAGTGCAGCTCTGTCCCTTCTCTGCAACTAATCTTGGACAGTTGCCAAGAGACCTGAGAGGTTAAGTAATTTGCCCAGAGTCATACAGCCAGTATGTGACAGAGACAAGAATTGGAGCCAGATCTTCCTGGTTTCAAAGCATCTCTAATAATGCTGGCTCACACCAAATACTGAGCAATCCTGTCAAGCTGGGATTCCGTGTCTGGTGCAACAAATCACTCTGTGCTTGAGCATTCAAATAATCAATCCCTTTAATAAAAACATAGTCAAATGTCCTGGTTGGGGGCGGGGAGAGCAGTTCACAGGAAGATAAAAGCAAATAAAAGCCTCATAAGGAGGTTTAAAGCAATGAGCAAGGAGTTATCTGAGGTCTGGAGAGGTCCTTGACAGTCTGAAGGCTGAAAAAGTAGCCTCCTTGCCCACAGGTGGCTCCCAAATCAGTGGGGAGAGTGGAGAAGAGAGGGGACGGGAGAGATAACCCAAAATGTCCTGGTTCTGTTTCATAACTTCTCTTGTTCACAACAGTCTTAGCTAATGTAATTAGAGTCTTGGGGATTAACTCAAGCCTCCCCAGTTCAACCAGCGTCCTGGTCCCCTGCAGGCTCCTCTTGACTCTGATCTCGGACATTAATCCACATGAAATTGTTAAAGGAAGACTGAGTGTCCAGTCCCATTAGCAGTTAGTAGGTGACATATGGTACCTCCTCTTTCACTTCCAACTTGACCCCAAAGCCCACTCAATCTACTCAAACAGTTTACAGTAACC